CCAAAGAAACACTTTTCCCGGGAATACTTCCCTTTATGGAGCTTATAATTTTGATATTTGAAAACGTCGTCTCAATATATACTCCTATTATTAGCATCGCGATGCTAATAAGTTGAAAGGTTTATAAATGTGTCTTGTCTCTCTATATACACTCCTGTTATTGGCATTGCAATGCTAATAAGTTTACAGGTATGTAAATGTGTCTCATCTCTCTATATATACTCCTGTTATTAGCATCGCGATGCTAATACGTTTTGGGCATTTCACCTTAGTAAGATGTGCCATTTTTAGAGTGATACCCCCCCCCGAACTCCAAGCCCCATTTTTTCTGATGAAATCCCCCAAAGAAACCTTTTTCCCGGGTATACTTTCCTTTGTGGAGCTTATAATCTTGATATTTGAAAACATCGTCTCTCTGTATGTAATCTGTTATTAGCATTGCCATGCTAATAAGTTTAGGGCATTTTACCTTAGCAAGATGTGCCATTTTTAGAGAAATACCCCCCATTTTTTCTGATGAAATTTTCTGATTACAAGTTTATTATTTATTTTTATCTAAATTTGATTTTCAACCATTTAAAATCATTAAATTCTGATATTTAACAACTTTAAATGCTTCTGACGTTACGTAAAAAAACGTCAATAATTATTAGCATCGTGATGCTAATAACATGATTATGCCAAATAAATTGAAATGTGCAGTGTATCACTGTGTATTTCTCAATTTGTAATCAATTCAAGCATTCTAAACATTTTAACTGAACACATCATTTAATTTTGTCCACTGAAGTAAATAACAGTGATTTCTGTTCAGACCAAAAAAAAAAAAAAAAAAAAAAGTTTTGTTTCCTGCTACCAGCCTGAAAAAAATAGGGTAGGTAGGTAGGAAAATTATTTTATTTTATTTTTTCCAGACGGCATTTTTTGGATATGAACTAATAAAAGATCAAATTAAACGTGTCATAGGTCAATATTGTCTTTTAAAATTAAATTTCATGACTATTGATGCACAACTCAAGTGTTGTTTTTTTTTTTTTATGAAAGTCCATATTTAAAACAGAGAATTTCATGAAATGCTTGTTTTGTGTGAATACGGAAACTGGTTACAGTGACAGAACAATGAAATTCCGGAAATTCTCAATTTTCTTTTTTTCTAAAACTAAAAAAAAAACAAAACTTTAAGGTCGGGTGCAAAAAATAGGGTAGGTCAGGTAGCAGGAAACAAGACTATTATTTTCTAGATAACTTTCAATAAATGTTACGTGGCATTTACTCCCTGGAAAAATGCTCAGAGACATTAAAGTATCAATGACATTGATACTTTGTTTTCTTTGAGCAATTTTCCTGGGAGTAAATGCCACGTAACATTTATTGAAAGTTATAAAGATAAGCTCAAAATTTACACCTATACAATATGATTTTTCTCAATGTCTAAAAAAAATTTGCACTGGTGTATAGAAGGTCCTTAGTTATTGAAAAATATAAATCGTAAATATGTGACTAATAATATTTTTACTACCTACCTATCTACCTACCTACCTAGTCCTTCTTGCACCCAGAGGCATGTAGGGCAAGGACTAGAGATTTCCACTCTCCTCTAGCTATTTTCTACCTCTCCCCAGGTAAGTTTCATGTATTTAATTTCTTGTTTGACAGTTCGCCTCCACATTGTTTTTGGTCATCCTTACCTCCTTTTTCCCTTCTGGGGTCCGTCTGAGTGCCACTCTTGTTATATCATTTGTTGGCTTAATGGCTTTCTTAAGACATGGCCGATCCATCTTCATCTGTATTTTTTCAGTAAGGTCCTAATATCTGTTGTTTTTTTTTGTTATTTTATATAGATTTGTAGTATGGAGTTTCAAAAAAGCAACCCAGAGCAAAGTAGTTAAACATTACTGCTTTTGAACACTTTTAAACAAAAGATGTAGTTTCACTGAGTAACTGTACACCATGCCACCTTGTCTGTGTTGCAGCTCTATAAATTACTGTCTGATTACTTCACATTGTGCTGAATTATTACCAATCATATCTAGTTAACCAGAACTGCTCTTTTTTGTTATTTCATTTAAGAAGTAACTGTTTGGTCACAAATTAACTGTTGTACATAGCCACATGGCTTTCAGAACTTTGATTGCAATTGCGCTGAAGGATCAATTAAGACACATCTTCAAGAGTGATTTTTTCATGAATTGTTTTCAGATCAGTTCATTATGAAAATCTTTAGTGCATCAAATTGCAATTTTTGTACATCTTGAAAAAAGTACTGAAATAATGATTTAAGAAATAATTATAAGTATGATTTATTAACTAAATAAGCTACCTCAGGTAGGTAAATGAAGCTATGCAGGTAATTCAAGCTACAAGGTAAATATAGTGATTGCACCAGACCTGCATATGTATAAGAAACAAATATATTCTCATGAAACCTATTTAAGTGGTCATCATAGGCATTCACAACTATAATTTGTAAATAAAACAAAATCTTGATGGTTTCTGAAGAAAAAAAATTGTGTAATTTATACTTGAATTGTGTTTTACATTTAATATCCTGTCATACAACTCGATATAATCTAATTATTTATTAGTTGTTTTTTAAAGTTATTTTCTTGGAAATTCAACCTCATGTCAGTTTGGGCAGGTATTGGCTCTCTTTTTCTCTTTTCTGAACTTGATCTATAATTCATCAAGGTACACTTTCAATACCATGAATCAGCTAAATATCTGCAAGCTTTTATGGAAAAAATGTGGAAAACCCTTAAAAATAAAAAAAACCTGTAATTCTGTAAAAAACCATTAAAGCAGAACCAAATGTAAACTTGATCTGTAACTCATAAAGATACACTCACATAACAAAAATCCACTCAATATCTGCAAGCGTTTAGAAAAAAGTGCGGAAAACGAAGTGGGACAGACAGACAGAAGGGCAGACAGACAAAGAGGAAACCTATAAACCTACAGTCCCCTCTGGTTTCACTGGTAGGGGACTTATAATCTGTAAAAGGTTTTGTAAAGAGTCTTTATTATATACACACAGAACACATAACAAATGCAAATTTCTTGGCAGTCCTCTGTTATTTGTTTTATTCATCAAATTACAATTTTATCATACATTCAGGGTTGTGGTTAACTTTTGAAAACTTAGGGGCCATGTGGGCTCCTAACTTTTCAAATTTTACGGGCCCACAATGTGACCCAGGTGCCCACATTATTTGTTAAATAAAAATAAAAACAAAAAATCCTTATTTTTTTAAACTGATTTCTTTTAGTTGCTAGTATCAATATGTTCGCAGCATTTGAATTTTCATCAGGTTTTCTAAAAAAATCTTGATACAATGATTTTGTAGCGTTTAACCAGGGGTCAGGGTAAAGTTAAACAGTATAGTGAAGATAAGGCCAGGTCAATGGGTAAGTTATACAGTACAGTGAAGATAAGGCCAGGTCAGGAGTAAGTTATACAGTGTAGTGAAGATAGGACCAGGTCAGGGGTAAAGTTATACAGTATAGTGAAGATAAGGCCAGGTCAGGGGTAAGTTATACAGTATAGTGAAGATAAGACCAGGTCAGGGGTAAGTTATACAACATAGTGAAGATAAGACCAGGTCAGGGGTAAGTTATACAGTATAGTGAAGATAAGGCCAGGTCAAGGGGTAAGTTATACAGTACAGTGAAGATAAGGCCAGGTCAGGGATACGTTATACAACATAGTGAAGATAAGACCAGGTCAGGGATAAGTTATACAGTATAGTGAAGATAAGACCAGGTCAGGGGTAAGTTATACAGTATAGTGAAGATAAGGCCAGGTCAAGGGGTAAGTTATATAGTACAGTGAAGATAAGGCCAGGTCAGGGTTAGGTTATACAGTATAGTGAAGATAAGGCCAGGTCAGGGGTACGTTATACAACATAGTGAAGATAAGACCAGGTCAGGGGTAAGTTATACAGTAAAGTGAAGATAAGACTGAACTGAAGCATCTGTGGTTTAACGGGGCATATTAAATTCATAGGAGTTCGCAATTTTATCAATAAAGTCAATAAAAATCTCTCGATTGACCAAGCCATGAGCTATGCTTTAGCATAGCGAACTGTTCTCTATGCTAACGCATAGCTCATGGCTTGGTCAATTGAGTGATTTTTATTGACTTTATTGATAAAATTGCGAACTCCTGTGTTAAATTACATACAAACGTGTAATAAAGTTTGATTCTTATCTTTTATTGCGTGCATTTGACATGATAATTCAAATTCTATCTATGAATAACTAGTCCTGATGGAGTGTCTCACAGCCATAGCCGATTGTTACAATTAATATTTCCATAAGAACAATCTCAAATATTTGCTCTCCTATCATCAAGATTGCAAATTAACCGCTTTGATAAATCGCCATGTTTGATCTAAGTCACTTACATGTTTCACTAATATGCTTGCATGCAATACAAATAATCTAGGTTAGTAGAGCATTTGTTCAAAAACTGAAAGTACATACAATTGTGATTATATGTTCCGGGAAAAAATCGTTCGCCATGTGGGCGACCAGAGTTTTAAAATTTAATCACCCACAGCAAATTTTACTCGCATTTGCAAGTGGGCATGTGGTTATCCACAACCCTGGTTACATTGGTCAAAGTTATATTGATTCTATACTTATTAAAACTCTATTTTAATATTTGTTATCCACCAGATCATTAATGAAATGTCCTTCATGCCCTCATTAATAAAATGTCCTTCATGCCCTTTCATATGGAACTGAGGACAAAAGTGTTGTTCCATTTTTCAGACTCGTGATATTACCATATTTAATGTAAATAATAATCAACTCTCTGTGTGAAAGTCACTTACTGCTAGCAACTTTCATTCATTTTAATTTCTAAAAGAAGCTAAAGGAAAAAAATTGAAAAATAAAAACTTGCACTTCAACTTGTCAGTTCTCATAAGTCAGGAAATCAGTTGAGTTCTATATCACATAAAGATTCTAAATTGTGATTTTTTTTATGTTTTATTTAGGTTCGTCATATCCTGTGTGAGAAGCAATCAAAATGTTTAGAAGCCTTGGAGAAAATTAAAGGAGGAATGAAATTTAATGAGGTTGCTGCACAGTATAGTGAAGATAAAGCCAGGTCAGGGGTAAGTTGTACAGTAAAGTGAAGATAAGGCCTGGTCAGGGGTAAGTCATTTAGTATAGTGAAGAATAAGGCCAGGTCAGGGGTAAGTCACACAGTATAGTGAAGATAAGGCCAGGTCAGGTATAAGTTATACTGTAAAGTGAAGATAAGGCCAGGTCAGGGGAAAGTTATACAGTTATGTAAAGATAAGGTCAGGTCAGGGGTAAGTTATACAATATAGTGAAGATAAGGTTAGGTCAGGGGTAAGTTATACAATATAGTGAAGATAAGGTTAGGTCAGGGGTAAGTTATACAGTATAGTGAAGATAAGGCCAGGTCAGGGGTAAGTTATACAGTATAGTGAAGATAAGGCCAGGTCAGATGTAAGTTATACAGTACAGTGAAGATAAGGCCAGGTCAGGAGTAAGTTATACAGTGTAGAGAAGATAAGACCAGGTCAGGGGTAAAGTTATACAGTTTAGTGAAGATAAGGCCAGGTCAATGGGTAAGTTATACAGTACAGTGAAGATAAGGCCAGGTCAATGGGTAAGTTATACAGTTTTGTAAAGATAAGGCCAGGTCAGGGGTAAGTTATACAGTATAGTGAAGATAGGACCAGGTCAGGGGTAAGTTATACAATATAGTGAAGATAAGGCCAGGTCAGGGGTAAGTTATACAGTATAGTGAAGATAAAACCAGGTCAGGAGTAAGTTATACAGTATAGTGAAGATAAGGCCAGGTCAGGGGTAAGTTATACAACATAGTGAAGATAAGACCAGGTCAGGGGTAAGTTATACAGTGTAGAAAAGATAAGACCAGGTCAGGGGTAAAGTTATACAGTTTAGTGAAGATAAGGCCAGGTCAATGGGTAAGTTATACAGTACAATGAAGATAAGGCCAGGTCAGGAGTTAGTTATACAGTGTAATGAAGATAAGACCAGGTCAGGGGTAAAGCTATAGAGTATAGTGAAGATAAGACCAGGTCAGGGGTACGTTATACAGTATAGTGAAGATAAGACCAGGACAGGGGTAAGTTATACAAAATAGTGAAGATAAGGCCAGGTCAGGGGTAAGTTGTACAGTATAGTGAAGATAAGACCGGGTCAGGAGTAAGTTATACAGTACAGTGAAGATAAGACCAGGTCAGGGGTAAGTTATACAGTATAGTGAAGATAAGGCCAGGTCAAGGGGTAAGTTTTTGTAGCGTTTAACCAGGGGTCAGGGTAAAGTTATACAGTGTAGTGAAGATAAGGCCAGGTCAATGGGTAAGTTATACAGTACAGTGAAGATAAGGCCAGGTCAGGAGTTAGTTATACAGTGTAATGAAGATAAGACCAGGTCAGGGGTAAAGCTATAGAGTATAGTGAAGATAAGACCAGGTCAGGGGTAAGTTATACAGTATAGTGAAGATAAGACCAGGACAGGGGTAAGTTATACAAAATAGTGAAGATAAGGCCAGGTCAGGGGTAAGTTGTACAGTATAGTGAAGATAAGACCGGGTCAGGAGTAAGTTATACAGTACAGTGAAGATAAGGCCAGGTCAGGGGTAAGTTCTACAACATAGTGAAGATAAGGATAGGTCAGGGGTAAAGTTTTACAGTATAGTGAAGATAAGGCCAGGTCAAGGGGTAAGTTATACAGTACAGTGAAGATAAGGCCAGATCAGGTGTAAGTTACACAGTATAGTGAAGATAAGGCCAGGTCAGGGATAAGTTATACAACATAGTGAAGATAAGGCCAGGTCAGGGGTAAGTAACCAATAATGGACTTAAATTTAGGTCGATATGTGTTTATAAGGACCCATGTCAAGTGATATTGACCGAAGACAAAGAAAGTGATAGCGACCGTGCTTGTGAGGTTGCTATCATTTTTTGTGTCTGAGGTTTATATCACTTGACATGGTTCCTTATAACCACATATTGGCCATACACTGAAGTCCATAATAGTTATATTGTATAATCACTCAAAGTGAATAATCTGGCACAGTCCTCACTGAACAGTCTTGGCTGTCGTTATCACAATGGTAAAACTTCTTATATATAATGACGTCACATTCTACATAACTTTGGCAAAGCCGAACAGTGAGTCGTGCGATATCATATTTCATGGACACGCTTTCTTGTCAATATCACAAAAGGACGAATATCACCTGACGTTCTTTCAGCCAATGAAAATTACAAAAATAATCATCTTATATAATATTATAGTTTATCGTCAAATACATACAGACCATGGATAGACATAAACTTAAATTTAGATTCACTTGCCTTAACAAACTTTGACTTGTCCAAGTGTAAAACTTGATACAAGATATAGCTTTAGACAATATCATTTTCTGTAAGGGGTTATTTGGTTTACATGTATATTGGATTTGTTTACCCCAAATAAACTTTGAGATGCATGGGAAGCCATTCTGAAGAAAGCATTTACAAACTAAATGAGATAAAAATATCAGTTTCTATCAGAAATATTCACCTGGCTAATCAGACAATTATGTTGCAGGGATGGGGTCAATTACTTTAAAAAGTAATTAATTAAATTACAATTACTTTGACTTTTTCTTCAATTAAATCACAATTAAATTACAGGCTTTCTAAGATGTGTAATTAATTAAATTACAATTACTTTGCAAAAGTAATTAATTAAATTACAAATTACATTTATAATTTTTTTGAATTTTTTTTATAATCCTTGTCAATGAATATACAGAACATCATTCATCTGTATATAAGCTCAGCTTCTGCACAAACAATACAAGAAATAATATGCTATATAGGTATTGTGTATCTTTGTGGTTTAATTTATAATTTTTATTTACAAAACGTTAAAGAACTATCCAAGATCAGTTTGATGCAGTTTCCTCGACACAAAACCTACATGTACATAAATTGCATGGCTTATGATATTTGATTAAAAGAGGGTATTGCTACTTATGGCGAACGTTTTTACTTCACAAGTAATAGCTTTTCAAAAAGCTTGCCTGACTAATCAATCAATATCTATGGAACGTATAAGCAAGAGAGGTGCTAAACGTTTCCGTCATCAAGGAGCGACATAGTTGCGATACTTCATTACACAAGATGTACAATTGACTTTCTTAAAGCTCATAACCAAATACTACAGATTAATGAATATCTAAAACATGCCACTATTTAATCATTTATTAGTTAGCCCACGGGCTGACAAGTGACGTTGGGATGAAACTCTAAGTGCGCTAGCGTAGATTATAATTTTGGATGATTCGGTTTAAAGAAATTCATATTAGATGCATATGTACTCTCTTACTAAAGGGCGCGCTTCTTCATGCACACTCACTGGTCAGTAATAAATTGACGAGACGGCCTCTTTTTATAGACTGGTCTGTTTTTCTCGACGACGAAGTAAATTATGAACAGTTTTAACTGCCTTGTCTTGAAGTGTTTGAGACAAAAATGCTTCAATGCTGCTCTAGAACTCAAAGTAAATGGACTGTACACTTAATAGCTAGACCAAAAGAAGATAGTAATACCCCCCCCCCCCCCACCCGGACGAAACTCACGCGGATGGCCTTACTATATACATGTATTATAAATGAGTTTTAAAATACATCTTTATGTACAGTTTTAAAATTGTTTAGTTTTTCTTTTCAATCGATTTCAGGACCTTTCTCATAATTATAATAACGTGCTTTTATATGAAATGAAAACTAGTATAGATCATGATGTCTTCTTCATTTTGCCGATTCTTTCCTTTGAACCTTACGGGAGGTAAGCCTATTGGCCTACTCTTGTCACTTTCCTTGTTCATCACAAAGCATGAAATAATACGCTACTGGCTGACTTTTTAAGTTTTTTTTTAAAAACCTAACCTTGTAACGTACATTATTAATAAATGTAATATTGAAAGAAAAGGTGGAAGAAAACAGACTGAATCAAGAAGGGATGTCCCATTTACTAGGTCGAGGGAGTTTGTTTATGATTGGACTAGTTCACGTATGGGATAAATACATGAAGTAAGAATAATCAGCAACTTAACTAATGACACACACATTCTTTTTCTTTATTATTGACCAACAACAAAGATTGTTCAAAACATAAAAAATGCATGTTTCAAAGTTGAATAGCTAACCTGTGAAGGGTGGTACAAAATTTTGATAAACATAAAATAAAAAAATCAAATTTGACGTAATGATTAGAAAGAAACTAGATAATTATTATCAAGCCAATCATTTATTTGCTTGTAAACATTAATTTAAGAATTTGTATAATTGAAGGATTGAGGATATGTTTTACAATAAAATAAAAGACAGTAAAATGGAGAGGAAGTGGTGACAATATATCACGAATGTGTGTTATATAAAGTAATTGAATGTAATTGAAAAAGTAATTGAAATTACTAGGTATATTTTCAGTGTAATTAATTAAGTTACAATTACAAGTAATTGAAAAAATGTTCAATTACAAATTACTTCCCATTATTTCAAAAAATGTAATTAATTACGGTCAATTACAATTACTTTTTTCAATTATCCCATCCCTGTTATGTTGATACTTTCACTTGCCCGACCTGAGATTTTACTTGCCATGCTAACTGTTTATGTCTATCCCCACAGACTGAATGTATCTAGCAAACAATTTTCATGTATCTATCTTGACTCTTTTGTGTGTTTGTGATTCTGTCACTACCAATGTTTAAAGTCGTAGATAAAGAAAGTTTCAATTATTAAAATGGTTTTCCGTCGATTTTCTTAATCTTCACTGTTTCCGCATTGTGAATGTGTTTGTCGATAAGAAATACATCAGCTGTTTGGTTTCCAGGGTGACTTAGGCTGGATGACCCGGGGCAGTATGGTCGGACCGTTCCAGGACGCGGCCTTCGCTCTTCCTACAAGTTCACTCGCCAACCCTGTTTACACGGATCCCCCGGTCAAAACAAAGTTTGGTTATCACATCATTATGGTGGAGGGCAAAAAGTGAAAAAAAAAAAAAAAAAAAAAAAAAAAAAACGGAGAGAGATGTTTGTGTCATTACAGACAGAATGTGAATCTAAGGATCATGTAAAATTTAATATTAACTGTGAACTTTGTAATTGATTTTAAAAGTTTTTATGACACATAGGGGCCTAAAACTGATTATAAAATTTGATGTTTTTTTTTTTTAAATCTATAAAGGGAATGTTATATTCTTACTGAAAGGTAGGCTGTGTTCCAAGATTATCTTGTGTTATAAGTGTACATGTTTGTTATTTTTTTTTTTCAACATATACAAATTGCTAGAATCTTAACTGTAACATTTAACTTTATAATGTTCCTAAATACTTTCTATAGGTAATATCTTTTTTAATTTAATATGTTAAATTCATTGATTTGTAAGAGTTTACATTATATCTTGGGATGCAATATTAAGATTTAGCTGCTATGCTGAAAACATAAAAATTGTATATAAATTGAAGTTCTTTTTTCTTTGATTTCTTATCCAAGAATTTTGATCAAAATAAACTAGATGTTAATGCTATATACACTCTGTATTTTTATATATACAGTTGTATATAATTATTGTTTTATGCTCTACCATGAAAATGGCTGGGGCATATAGTGTGTGTTGTGTTTGTCTTCCATGCCTCTCTCCACCCAAGACACGTTGCATTTAGCTCGGTTTCAAAGAAATATATTGAACAAATGTCAAACCTTTGAAAATCTTCTTCTAGAAGACAAAATGTTTTGCATGATTACAATGCGTACTTAACCCTTCACCAAAACTGTGAAATTCCTGGCTCCAGGGTCATAGAGTATTTCACCCCTTACCAGATTTGTGACGTTAATGTCCCCTGGGGCCAGTGTTCATGCCTCAGAGTGGGACTAAGTTGGTTTTACATAGAAAATACATTACACCTTTGCAGTCAGTAATGCAACATAAAAAGAAATGTATCTTGCATCTTTGTTTAAGATTAATAGGGTAAATGAGGAATAGTAAGGTTAAAAACACAGGAAAGGTTATGTTAAATAAAAATAGGACACCAATTCCAGATTACACCAATTTCTTTTAGTGTATGAAGTTTGATGAAAATATCTTGAATATTGTTTTTCTGAAACTGAGTTCTAAACATAACAAATAGTAAAGTCAAAGCTAATAGGAAAGCTTGAGGTTAAAAAGAAATGGATCCAGTTGATAAGTTCTGCCAATATGTATATGTGATTTGATGAAATATCTTGAATAGTTTCTTTGAAATTAAGCTTTCAGCAATTTAAGTAAAGTCAAGGTCATAGAAAGGTCAAGGTAAAAAAAAGATGCATTTGAATAGCTCTTATCATTATGTATCAGAATATGAAGATTGATACAATAATCCTGAATAGTTTCTTTGAAACTTAGCTAAACAGAAATTAATGAAAAGTGAAGACAAGGTCAAAGAAAAGGACAAGGTCTGAAAACATTGATGCAGATAAAAAGCTGATTAGCTCTCATCATTATGTATCAGGATATGAAGTTGAATACAAATATCTAATAAGTGTCTTTGAATTATAAATACAAATTAAAGAAAAGTGAAGTCAAAGGAAAAGGTCAAGGTCTAAACATTTGCATGCAGATGAATAGCTCTCATCAATATGTACAATGTATCAGTATATAAGGTTTGATATCTTGAATAGTTTCATTGAAACTGAACTAAATATAAATCTAAGAAAAGTTTGTTTGTTTATTGTTTAACGTCCCTCTCGAGAATTTTTCACTCATATGGAGACGCCACCACTTGCGGTTGAGGGCTGCAAATTTATACCTTTACTCGGCACTCAGGGCCATTGTTCATGTGAGAGATCTTTTTCGTGCCAACAACTACTGCGACACGGGACCTCGGTTTATACGGTCTCATCCAAAGGACTGGTCTCCACGTCCCGCAGTGGATTCGAACCCGCGACGTAAGGATCAGCTCTGTACTTCGCAATTCTAGAGCAGACGCTCTAACCACTGCGCCACGCGGACAACTCTTAGAAAAGTAAAAAGAAACCAATGAAAAGTTCAAGGTCTCAAAATGTTGATGCAATTGAATAGCTCTCATTAATATGTATTAGCATCAAGGTTTGATAAAAAAATTTATCTAGGATAATTACTTTGAAACTGAGCTAAACAAAAATTTAAGAAAAGTGAGGTCAAGATCAAAGGAAAGGTAAAGGTCTAGAAATGCTGATGTAGTTAAATAGCTCTTATTAATATGTATCAGCATATAAAGTTTAGTTTGATAAAATATCTTGATAGTTTCTTTGAGACTGAGCTAAATGCAAAGTGCTTCGGAAGAAAAGATGAAAGGACGGAAGAAAGACATGACAAACACTATATGCCCTAGCCATATTCATGGCTAGGCATAAAAATAAGATTAGAAATACGCTTTTTAAACCCTTAATATACTTGTTTTTTTCAAACTCGTTTTTATCTAAAGGAAGGCGGGTTGTTGGTGCTTGGTACATATATACTTTCTTCGAGAATGGGATGTCTTCTGTACTAATAGAAAGTATGCTGATAACATATAAGATTTTTGATTGAATAAACAATGCTCTGTCACATTTAAGCTGAACACGACTCGAATAGGAATACGCGATATTACTATCTAGGATATCAGCACCAGGGTATACTCTTCGCATTTGTTACACCTGACTGCTTTATTGTCACGGGTATCGGCGTGGAATGGCGACCGTGTTCGTGCTGGTTATCTTGCATTACCTTTGTTTACATTTCATTGCAGTTACGTGTATTTGCAAGTGTTTGTTTGTATACTGCACTGACTTGTGCAACTGTTGTAAGTTTCTTTACTTTGGTTTCTTTCTCTTCTGAATTAGAATAGGTACAGTGCAGGAAACTAATTTTGTTACAGCATCAATGCTGATTTGAATGCTTCCTTTGCTTGCTGATTTGAATGCTTCCTTTGCTTGCTGATTTAATGCTAGTTATCCTTATCCTGATGCTGTTTTATAATTAGGTCAATGCATGCTACCGGAAGTAGCATCATGCTACCGGAAGTAGATAATGAATTTCAGCATTGCCGTTTAAAGCAATAAAAGTGCCTTTTACTACTATTTGATCATAATATCTCACTATGTATCAATAATGTGAATACTTTAACCAATATTCTTTCTTTCTTTTTTAATTTTTTACTGAATTAAAACTCATTGATTTTCTGATGCTAGTAGGATAATGCTGATTTTATGTAGGTCAATGCTGGTTTTATCCTTTGCTTGCTGATGCTGATCCTGGTAATGCTGTTTTTTAAATGCTGATCCTGATGCTAGTTCGATCCTGATGCTACTAATGCTGATGCTGGTTTATGTAACAAAATTAGTTCCCTGCACTGTACACAGTTATTTTTTGTAGCTATCGAGTGCTGTATAGCATACGTCCTTCTACACCGGTGACGATTGATTACACTGAACCATGTGAACAGTGACCATATACACCCCTACTATAGTGTTCGGAACATTTTATTTTTCGGTGTTCTACAAATTATAAAATCCGAGGAGTTCCCAGTAGTCCTCACAGTAGCTCTGGCGAGATCTAGCGAGATCACAACGAGATAAGGTAAATTATTCACGGAAATGTGGCTAGGAAGTGACTAGCACGTGGAGACATGGTAAACAGAAAAGTTATCTTGCGTTTCATTTTTCACTACTGAATAATATCTGTAGAAATGTACGTCAATCTCCCTTGAATTCATTCAAACTCAATACGTTTTCTTCATGACATTGTTTTCTGCACTTATGTATTTAAATTTCATTTTGGACAAACATACTTGCATGCATGTGAACTTGGACTATATTTTTTGGCGTTAGATTAGCAAATGGGGTACCAATATAGCTTAATCTGAATGAGTTGAATTGCATTGGGGGTTACTACAGATACTACAGGAATTTTACGCTTGAAGAAGAAAAAAAAACAAGGCGATCGGAAAGGCACATAGAACATTTTTTCTATGCATTTCCATGCTGTCCATTTTTATTCTATTATTTCCGTGCTCACAATTGCAAACAGTTCATTTGTAACATGTTAAATAAACGTGGAATTCTAGGATTATTAAAGTCATACTGTAGGGCGATTTTCGTCAGCATTCCTTTGTTGTATTATATGTGAATACAATTGTCAGGTGGGTTCCCTGACCAAAAAGCACAGATGATCACAGGTATTGTAATATGGAAAAAAAAAATTGTTGTCCATTTACTAGTACCTGTTTAAATGCCTAAGGGATACTGTTCGTCTTCCTTAACCTTGAAGCTCTAGTGTTCTGAACGTGGCACAAACTACATTTTTTAATATGCATTTTCTAGTTAACAACGTAATAACAAATAACAAACGCCCGTGGCATCTTTCATAGTTTCTACTCTTTGTATTTTTTCATATAAACAGGTTTTTTTTTTTTTTTTTTCATTTTTTTTTTTCATTTTTTTTTTTTTTGCAATCCATGTAATATCGATCGTGTTCGAAGAAAAATGTAAACACATAGGTGTCAAGTTAATGTTGCTATTCATTCAATGATTACTAGTAGTCAATTGTTGGTGGTAAGATCCTCTGTGCGCATAAATAACAAAAGCCATATGAGGTAAACAAAGGTTTGTCATATACATTTTTTTTCTACCAGCGTATCGGGCGATTTTGGAAAAACTACTAAGCTCCAATTTTCGCCGTAAATTATCACAAAAGCAAAGATAAATTCAGTAGATTGTGATTTTTTATATCCCACTCATTTCTGTTTAAAATCTTGAATATCAGAAAGTTTTTAAAAGAAACAGATTATAGCAATTTCCTGTTTGCTGCCAATTTTATTTTTAAAACCGGTTCTACCCTATAACCTTTGAATGGGTCAACCTACACCACGTGTCTTGAATTTAAATCACAATAACATTAGTAGGGGTGATATAGGGGCTCTCAGATGTAACATTATTCCTTTTACGAATCGTGTTCAGCTTTAATTTCATCAAAACGCATTATGGACTGCTAAACGATTTTATTTGATTTGCTTACTATTCACAAAATTACAAGCGGCTACAAACCACGAGATATACATGTATTACAATATTCATCAGGTTTAAATGAGATCACCCACCGATTGCATGTTTTCAAAATATTTATAAATATAAGAACAATATATGATTATGGTTATGTTGTGATGAGTATAAGTCTGATTGATAACAAAATATGAGAACTCTTTACACATGTATCAGACTAAAATGTATTTCTCATGATGAACTTACTTTCTGTGAGGAATGAATTCAATCAGAATTTATACATGTTATATTTTACAATCTATACTGAAACACTTTGACAAGTCCTTCCCGGTATCCTACCCACAGTGTAGACTTGTATAGGGATAATCTGCATGGATGGTTCACTTCATTCCCTGTCAGTAAGAACTTTAACAACTCCTTGTCAGGACTCAGCAGATGGATCTGGTTGTTAGGTGGGTCAGTAACAAGGATGTTACAGAGGGAGTCACACACTACATCAGTTGGCTTAAAGTTTTCTTTCAGGTTCTGTCCACGGTAGACAGACTTCATACGACCAGAGGGAGACATAATCACTAGTTCACCTGTAGTGTCACTTGTAAGGTTCACAACACAGATATCACTGTTACTGTTCTGTGTGACTCTGTGTGGCACTGTAAACAGTCTGGTCTGACCGTCCTCCTGGTACTCATACTCATGGATGACATCACCTGTCACTTTGATGTGTCTCACCAAACTTCTGCTGTGTGACTCTAATTCATAACAATCTGATTCATTGTCTCTCAAGGTAACCAGTAGTCCACCATCCAATGAATGACAGATTCCTATTGGTGCCAGTGGATCTGTACTGATGACTGTAGAGACAGATCCTGATGGTGACAGACACCTGATGGACTTGTTACCCAAGTCAGTGAAATAAACATCACCAGTATCAGTCATACACATGTCATATGGAATGATACTAAATTCATGTTCCCTTTCTCCTTCCTTGTTAACTTTTTCTGTATATAGTGATTTATATTCTCTTATGTAACATTGGTCTTCATCGTATGCCTTCAACACATATATTGGTTTATCTCTATATTGAAATGAGTTTATTTGAGTCACTTCATTATTCCCTAAATCGAAAGTTTTTCCAACCAAAGACTCAAGTAAGTCATCATTGATATCACCTCTATTGAACCTTGCTGAATGTTCACAGTTTGTCATATGAACCTTCATCTTAGACAGCATTTTTGTCAGTTCTCTGTGGTTGTCAATCAAGCTGTAATCTGACATGGTGCTGTTGTTCTCCTCCATGAATTCCACTGTCTCAACAATTCCTCTCTTCTTTTTGTCTAACTCAGATTTCACATGGTTCAGTTGATCTTTCTTTTTAACTAAACTGTCTCTCAGTGTTTGTTCATGACGTTTTTTGATGTCTGTCAGCCTGGCTATTATCTCATCGTAATGCATCCGTAGCTTTTTAATCTCAGAGTCACACAGTTCTATATTTTCTGTAATCTGTTGTGGAATCTTCTCTATCTTCTCATCAATCCTAGGCAGATCCTCTTCCTTGATCTTCTTCAGAAAATTAACTAGACATCTTCTCCTTTGGGTGGCTGCCGTGGGTAAAGTTTTCGGATCGTGCTCTCTATGACCTGTTATGGCACACTCAACACAAATGAATTCATCACAGTCCTCACATATCATATCAATAGTTTTTCCATGGATTTCACACATTTTAATTTGCTCTTGTGGCGAGCCCAATGGATATTTTTTGGTTGTATTGGCAGCCATGTTTGTCGGGTGTCGCCTACCAATGATCTAGTTTATTATGAGCTTGTTAGATAACCACGAAGACCGCGAAGTCGGACTTTAAATCTATTTAATATGATAGCTAGGTGTGCAATTAAGTTTAAATCATACATATGTAGACTATGACATTAATATAATAGAATTATTTATATATAGATAATCACAAAGATTGTGAAGTCGATTTTTATACATATGTAGTGTCTATTTATTGACGGGTAGGGCGAGGCGAAGCCGAGCCAGGTATGGAATTTACTAACCAGGTATCATCCCGTACCCTGTCACTACAAAACTATGTAACGAATTTACCCCACCGATAAAATATTTATGCATTGTCTGTGGTTTGTAAAATTGTTTTTCTCACTATATGTATGTTTCATCACTCATACAATGCCTATTATGACGTCACGTTGTGTGACGTAATGTTGTTTTGCGAGTGTTTCGTGCTGTAATAACGTACTGACAGTTTTGAAGACTTTCAGTAAAGGGAGAAAAAGGTTCCATCTTCGTTACTTACATTAGTTAACTGTAACATTGTCAACAGACACTCGGCAAATCGTGTGAACTCGAGTTGTTCGAACGTTACAAAAGAACGATAACTCCGTATCGACCATGTATTGATTTTCAAGCGACTAGGTATAAGTAATACACCCCCTTCACGTGACAGACTTCAACCAATCGTAAGCCAGGATTTCATCGAAAAATCAACAGAGGTGGGGTAAACAATGAAACGTACGTAAAGCATACAGCTGAGGTTGACACCATTAAAATGATATATATATATGTATATTTGAATGGATTTTTTTTTTGGTATATGTATAATAATTATACATAATATACCGTATCTATCGATTGTACAGAGCGATAAAAATATGGAATTGATGGAAAATTGCATATTTTCTAGAGAATACACACTCGGTAATTAAACGTTTGTTATTAGACGTAGGGGGTGCAGAGATGTACATTATCCACGCTCCAGGTGCCTGTGTCTAAAATGACATTCTCCATTTGAAATATTTTTAAGATAGATAAACTCGACATAAAACAATCTATAATTTGAAAAACATGTGGAAATGATTCCAAATAAATACTACCTTTAAAAAAGAAATCCTTACATATCCGGTTTTCTTTGAAAATTGTGACCTCTGTTAGTGGCTGTTCCATCACCAAATACTTACTAAATTAAAAATACCGAAGAGCCCGTTAAAACAGAAACAGGGATCGACATCCCAACACCATTTACAGTATTAAGGATGCATTAGACATTGAATGTTTGGTCAATATGAACCCCACGTTTCTTACTTCCCCTCTCAGTGCCACGGATAATCCGTTAATACTCGGTCAAGTCATGAAATGATGCACTGCACAGAATGATATTATTTGCAGAGAAACCATAAACTTTATAGCGCTTTGTATGGAAGAAAATGTTTGTTTTAATTCTTGAATTAAAGAAGAACAGTAACTTTTTACTGAAGATGCTCAACACCTTGGACCTGCGAGGATGCTCTTATACGTAAATCAATTAAACCTCAAAAAGTTTTTTTAATATCAAAATATGACTTTAGGCCAGTAGACAACGCTCTAGGCGGATTTAACAATAGAAAAATTTAATAATATTCCATATCTTGAAAAAAAATGCCAAGATTTAAGGTTTAATTGCATAAACATCGCATGACAAAAGACAAATAAAATGTAAGCTATGTAATTAGTTTAATTTTTAAAATGTTCATCCAATGATTGTTGTATCGTAAAGCCTGAAATATAAGAATAAGATATATAGAGGATATTCAATGTTTTGCAGATGAATATGAAATTTATTTCACGAGTGTGACAGGATTTTTTGATATTTTCACGAGTGCGAAGCACGAGTGAAAATATCAAAAAATCCTGTCTCACGACTGAAATAAATTCCATATTCATCTACAAAACATTGATATTTTTCTGTTTATTACATTTTCTTTGATGTTCCCTTTGTCTTTTCGTAACACGGTGTCATAGGCTGTGACGTCATAGTTGAGCGGTTGAACATGGATTTTTAACAACATATTTGGAGAAACTTTGGCAGTTTTAGTCTCTGTCAAGATGGTTCATTTACTCTATCTTATAACAGGCCAGGAAGTTTTTTTAAACACTATTAGTGATGGGCATGGCTGTATGAACCCGGGGGGGGGGGGGGGGGGGCTTGCTTAGTACGGGCATGATTTGGGATTGGAAATCGAGAGTTTTGTCGCACTTCTGATTTTCTTACACTGTGAGAATACCATTTTGATATCCTTTCACACTGTGTCAGAATATCAGTTTTATTCAGTAGATAAATTTACAGTATTTCACTGTTGAAAATGTAAGAAAAGCATAATTATATATCATGATATTAAGTCCTATAACTGTTAGTCATGTTAGTTAAGCTGTACAGAAATTCGGAACGGATCGAATTGTTTATTTCGAGCTCGAAATTAAAGCATTCATAATTGAATGTAATTTTTTCTATATTTCTTGTAATGTATTTCAATTACAGTCCCATAATACAAAGGAATTTAAAACCAGGACAAAGATTTACTTTTGTAAATGCTTTAATATATTCAACATTGATTTTTAAACAATTAAACTAAAGAATCTAGTTAATTTCAATTGCAATTTCAAACAATTTTTTCATGACGTAAACAAGGCGAAAAACTCAATCAAGATTTCTGGCTGCATTCTAAGTATCTATTGCAAAATAAGACTCAGGTTACCACAGTTTTTGTCTTGGTAAGAAATCTATAAAATAGCTCCTCATTCCGATTTATAGGAATCTTAATAATTCTTTCATTGCAAATCAAGAGACTCAGCTATTAATGACCGTAAGATCCTAAGGATGATATTCGACTGAAAAATCCCAACAATAAAGTCGACATATTTTAACAATGAATTTAATATAGAGCGCTTTGATTAATATGAAAACTGACTCACGGTTTCTCACAAATAAAGTTTTTGCGATTCTCGCATTCGTCATCGTTCCACAACCAATTAGTTCCGGCCTCCAGCTCCATACAGTGTTCGTCCAAATGACCACCATTGTTCGGCTGACCGGGGGCCCAGTGGGAGAACCCCTGGGATCCGATCACGCTTCCGGTCTTGGTCCATGTCCACTCCCCCTCCTGTAGGAGGTCACTACCCCCGACCCAGAACCGGGGATGGTCATATTTTGCTGAATAGAATTAGATAAGGAGAAAACATTTCATGGGCTAATCGTTATCTACCTATTGGGATAGACTGCACAAATGGATACTAGGATGATCATGATACATACGAATATTATCTTCTTCTTTTTTTGTTTGCTTTTGGTGGTTTTATTTTTTTTTAATTTATTTTTTTCTGGCAAAAATATGCCCGAGTCGAATTTTTTTTTAGTTGGTACATGTGTATCTCCCTCCCCCTTTCCACTCTTGCATCCACTAATGAAAGTCGTAAACTTTTGACAAATTATGTGATTTAAAAATGTAAATGTCATTACATCCTTGATTTTGTAGATATCCTCGCAGGAAGTTGTCCTCAACCTGGCTTTCTATGGAAACCAATTCAGCTTGAATAGCATGACAGTAAATCTGCAAACGGAATGACTTTTGTTTTATTTTTAACAACTTACCGAAAGTGTGAATGTATAAAAGGCATAATTTCAACTGCAATTTATATCGATAAGTTGCATCAAAAATAGACAATGTGTGTAGCGACATATTTTATTGCACTGTATGTGTCATCTTCGCTAGCCGAGGGTTTCCGATCCGAAATTTACTCTAGATTTCGGATCGGAAACCCTTGGCTAGCGAAGACGTATATGTGTTGTCTCTACAATAAATATAATATACGACTAATCGGTGACAAACTTGTGACTTGATTTTGGTGCCGAAAAAAAAAATCATCTTTGATGGAGAGTGGTTGGAGTTGCAAACTATATTTACACTGGCTTGAGCCCACGTCGCTAAGACACGGTTGATGACGTAACAGGACTCGTCATGTCTTGTGAAACCATTTGGACAGTCTGCAACCACTATAAAAAGAAATACAGACACAATTATTTATACCAGGTGAAAGGAGCTATAATGTTTTGCGACTAAATTTTGTTCTGTAAAATATCCCTCAGTTCAAGCGAAGAAAAACTTGCATTGTTGCTAATAATTTTTAAAAAGAAATATTATTTATAATTTGAATTCTAAACAGAAATGGTCGGTAACTTGACAATTTTTTTTTTATATATATAAAGGAATATTTGTTTATACCAGTAAGAGTTACCCCTCTTACCCGAGAGTCTATGAACCTTAAGAGATATGAACTTTAACATTTGATATTCTTCCCATTCTCATTCTAAATGAAATGCATTTTTTGTAAATGAGCGTCACGCACGATTATAATTAAACTCATGATCAAGAAGTAAAATTTCATCGACTTCAGTCGAAAGAGCCTTGTACAAACCTGTTAAAAGGCTTTAAGCAATGACCTAAAATTACTCCCACTTAAAAATGTTCAGTCCAAAACACGCATTACTCATTGGGTGAACAAATAAATCGTTTCTCCGTGTCTATTTATTTTGTTTTTAATCATGCATGATCGACAAGAGAAAAAAAAATTCCGATGTATGGAAAATATTTTTTATTCATTTCACATTTTTCAGATGTGAAAAAGAAATATTAAGTATTGATCCATTTAATGATTTAAAAGCAAACAACATTTATAAGACATATTTCAAAAAATAATAATGAAAATATATTTTACTTTTTTGCGCTACTGTTAAATCTACACCTACTATGACCCCCCCACCCCCCACCCCCACCCCCCTTTAACAAGAAAGTTGTTTTTGTTTTTAAATAAAAGCGCTCGCAGACTGTTCCTTATATCCACTGATAATTTAATCTCCTATTAATGTAGGCAAGCGAAGAAATGTTGTTAAAATAGGCTCCTTTGATTTCTTACATATACCTATATAGAAGGATAGCAGTACAGATAAACAGACCTTTAAAATTAATAGACAAATCACATGTGGTGAGGGTATGATTTGATGTAAATTGAGACTTTATAATTACAAAATTGTAACGATTCTAATGCAGATCACGCTGCGGTTGCACTATTATGAGATAACTACAATTTGTATATAGATTTACTTACCGTACGAAATTATCACCGAGATAACAAGAAAGGACAGTTTGTCGGCCATTATTTCATCTCTTGTTGATAAAAATTTCGGCCTTTTATATTATCAGGTAAATCAAGATTGCGTGTTAGATTTTACTATACTTAACGTATCCAAGATTGCGTGTTAGATTTCACTATACTTAACGTCTCCAAGATTGCGTGTTAGATTTCACTATACTTAACGTCTCCAAGATTGCATGTTAGATTTCACTATACTTAACGTCTCCAAGATTGTGTGTTTGATTTCACTATACTTAACGTCTCCAAGATTGCGTGTTAGATTTCACTATACTTAACGTCTCCAAGATTGCGTGTTAGATTTCACTATACTTAACGTATCCAAGATTTCCAGTGGGTGGGGGTGTGTGTGTATGTGTGTGTGTGGGGGGGGGGGGTGCAAAAATAACACATGATAAAATACTAGGTACAGTATATATTGCTTGCCCCGATTGGTTCTAGTGGGTAAAATTAAGTTAAATTATGTTCTGTTGTAAATTCACTTATTCATTCATATATTTGAAATGAAAATTAAAGAAAAAATTTCCTTCAAATCTGCAACAGCACAAATACTTGCCATTTTTAATAGTTATCTGCGTATCTTTTACATGTAGCTACTGCGCTGTGAACTTGAAAAAAAGAAGTATTAAATTAGTATGACGTAAATGTCAACGCCAAGAAAGAGATATTTAATTCTAGAACTAGAATCCAAGTCTTTCTTTGTAAAATTACACTAATATTTATACAAAAGATTTTTTTTTGTTTATTTCTATGTCAAAATCAGGACTTATTTTGGGGGGCTATGATTTGAACAGAACTGAATCTTTCCTAAATAAGGATGTATATTTCTAAATATGACAAACTGTAGCCAGAGACAAGAGTATTATTGATGTCTCTGCTGTAGTCTTTCCGGTCTTAAGAAGAAGGTTCCCAAATCAATCCTACATCAAACTTACAGACTCCTTACTGTGGCCATGGAGCAAGATTTGAGCAAACTTCAATCTTCACAACCTAAGATTGTGTTTAATAAATCAACAAACCACAGATTGATAGACTGATGACGGACAACAATTACAAATGCTAAATAGAACCTTTGGCTAGGGTGAGCTATAACAAAACACTGTAATTCATCATCTTTATTTCTCCCATAAATCAAAACAGCATCTTTTACATTGTCTGGTTACTTAAACACATACATGTATATTCCAAAAAAAAAAAAAAAATCAAATTCAAAATACTGTTCCCAAACCACTTGCTGATGCGAAGGCAGTCAAAGCAATGGCTGCTTGTCGTGTTTCCAATAGCAACTTGGCCTCTTTTAACCAATCGGATGCCACCTTTCTGGCCTCGCCCTGCAGCTGATTCATAAATCTGACGGCTGTTTCGAAATCTCCCCTCTCCATCCAATAATTAGCATTGGCCAAAATTTCAAAATTGTCCATACTAGCAATGTCAACTTGGTCATGTAATCCCTTTATGTCATAACTTTTAAAACTTATAAAGGTGGACTGGAGGTATGATATAAAATACTTATACAGAGTTCCTCCGCATTCATCAATGGCCGCCACTTTTTTACAGACACTTGAGACTTTCTCGAATCGTTCCCTCAGAGTATCCTCTGTCCAAACCCCACGTACATAAGCTTTCTCTGGGATTGTGCTTACAATCATGTTGACAAAGGGGTGATTTCCGGCAGCATCGTATACTGCCACAATTTCATTCCCTAGGGGCTTTAGGCGGGCTTCCCAATCTAACTCCTCCTCTTTACCCCGGCGAATGCTGCCATTCAAAGCGAGGCTGGCTAGCCAAAGGTCCTGTGCCTCTCTGGCAATCTTTTCAGCAGCAGCCCTGTCTAATATTTAAAAAAAATCTATAAAAATACTTTTCATCATTTCCTCAAATTAAATATATTCTTAAAGGGTTAGACACAGATCTTTTTTTTTTCTTGTTCCACCTTTGGACAATGAAGTGCTTAATGTCAGTCAATACATGCAATGTCAGTACCCAAAAATAATCTAAAATAACAAAGCATTCCAGGAGGATTACTTATAACAAATGACATCCAGAGATCGTACTTACTCTCTACTGCAGTTTCGATGCCTTTCAGTCGCGCCACCCACCCAGCGATCTCGGCCTGGAAAGCCTGTCGCTCCTCAATAAACTTCAGATTGAACTGACGCTCGTATTTCTGTAAGAGTTCTTGTTCCTGGACCTTCAGGACTTCCTGTAAATGGTCGCTGTGGGCTGCGGCCTGTCGAGCCAGTTGTTGACGAAGGTCCACCTCATGCTGAACTTGGGCCTCTTCCTCCTTCAAATCAAATTTGACTTAAAAGTTAAAAAATACATGTAAACGTATTTCGTTCTATCCAATAAGATTACAATACATCTTAAAGTAATGGGGAATGAAAATCACTTTGCGATAAGCGTCAATTCATTATAAGTGTGTTCACTATAAGCTTGTTTTACTGTACAATTCTAAAAGATAACTCATACCCATTTGCGTTTTTCGAGATCAATGCTATTTTTTATCTTCTGTGTCTCGTCTTGAATTCTTCTGTCACACACTTTGTCGTCTGCACGTTTTTGACTTTCTAGCGCCTCCTGAATTCGTTCCTTCTCCAGAGCCATGTGATTGGCCAACTGGTGCTGCAGTTGCTCTATACGTCTGTGAGCATGTGCAATCAATGAATTTAATTCATCTTCACTCAGCTTCTTTCCTGCACAAATACATAAACTTCAAAAAATTATGAACACATTTTTTTTTCTGAATATAATCTCTCAATCTGGACTTCTTTCTTTTTCCACATAAATCCAACCCAACTTGCTGCCACACCATTTACTGTTTGACAGATAAAAGTACGAGTTCTGTCAATGTTAATATGATTTTGTGTTAACTACAAAACAGAAGTGCTATGGGCTTTGTAGCTCAAAGTAATAGGTATCTTTATTCATTATCATTAATGACCAATGATTATACAGTCTACAATATTCTGAAGTTGTCTCAGCTTTCAAATACATGTAGCTATATTTACTTTGTTTAAAAGTCTTCCTATACCAAAATTCTTCTAGTTAATGCACTAACTCACAGTCATTAAGCCTGCAGTCCGGTATATAGCCTATAGTTTTATAAATAAATCTAGTCTTAGAAACTGCTCACCTTTTCCCGGTTTGACATCAGGCATCAAACTCTCGAGTTCTCGCTGGAATTTCTTTTTCCCTTCCTCCACCAGATCATTGAACTTTAGAAGTCCCTGATTCTCTGACTCACTCTTTGCTATCTAAAAATCAAAATCGAACTGTTCAAAGAAATTGTTAAAATAAAAAATGTACTTAGTCCCATAGGTTCCTAAGTGCTCTACAAAGAAACAGGTCTTCGTGAAATATAATAACCTATGCAGAGACTAATTCTATTTGATATTCGTCTTGATGTATGACGTTGTCTTAATCTCATATAAAAAACATTGCTCTTAACCTTCAACTTGGCCAAACACTTTTTTATATAATGTTTAGAAAGAATTGCAAAGTTAGTTGGTGAACAGATGAATTGAGAGTTTGACAATAATGTTTACTCCCTCTAAACATTGATATTCAGTACATAAAACCCTTGTTTATGTTAAAAGCTATTAATAATGTCCAATCAAAACATGAATGGTCAAGACAACTAAGTCATTTCTCTTTTAATAGTAGGCAACCTTTCCTCTAGTTTAGTTTAATATGACTGACAGCAAACCATCTACCATTTTATTTACAGCTTTCTATAACCTTTAAATGTAATGACTTAGGGCAAACTTTACTGTTGCATGTAACAACAGAATTGTTACATCTCATGACTTATAGGTAACTTTATAGCTAAATAACTTGCATGAAATGGTTGTATTCTTACATATGATGATTTACAACTGACTGTATTTTTCATGTAATTACTTACAACTGACTACTTTATATGTAATGATTTACAGCTGGCTGTATTGTTTATTACAAGTAATAATTTACAACTGTTTTATTACACATAAATTTACACTGACTAAATTGTTACATGTAATGATTTACAGATTACCGTATTATGACATTTAATGACTTACAGCTGACATGTAATGTAATGACTTACAGGTGACATATCATGACTTACAGCTGACACATCATGACTTACAGTTGAAATGTAATGACTTACAGTTGACACGTAATGACTTGCAGCTGACACGTAATGACTTACATTTGACATGTAATGACTTATAGCTGACAAGTTATGACTTGCAGGTGACATATAATGACTTACAGCTGACACATAATGACTTACAGCTTACACATAATAACTTACAGCTGTCATATAATGACTTACAGCTGACACATCATGACTTACAGCTGACATCTAATGACTTACAGCTGACACGTAATGACTTACAGCTGACTGTATGGCATTTAGTTTACTACTGGCTGTATTGTAGGCCTCCTGAGCTGCATTCAGGACTTTGTTACTTTTTGTTGATTTGGTGTTCCTTGCTTCATCTACCATTGATTTTAACTTGTCCATTTCTGATCTACAAACATGATAGAGATATGATTCTTTGTCTTATACATTACTGGATTAGACTATGTGTGCTTGCATGTCATACTTAACTCCAGTTAGTTTACTCTAATTAGAGTAAATTGACAGTTTATCATTAGAAACTATACAATAAAATGGTACATAATTTGAAGATTTAATCTTGTGGCAGTCAGATGGGTTCGGCCACAGCTGGCCAGAAAGCTCAGTTGGTAGAGCACCTGACTGGAGACTCAGGGGGCTCGGATTCAAATCCTCTCCTATTACATTTGTTGCCATGTCGTGAAAGACCTGCCAGGGAAGAGCCTGAGTTTGTGTCTTGGGGGGGAGAGGCAAAGACCTTCAGGGAGGGAGGAATGTGGCAGTCAGACAGGTTCGATTACCGGTGGCCAGATAGCAAAGTAGCGCACCTGACTGGAGATTCAGGGGGCCGGGTTTGAATCCTGGTCTGATCTGTTGCATTTTTCTCCTCTCCTATTACAATTTTATACATTTATCTTCCTGATTGATGGTGATCTAACTGTGGCACTAATATTTTACCATGGCGGAACTCTGGCACTAATTTTTTAACTGTGGCGCTAAGGAATTTAACTGTGGTGGGGCCGCCACATTAAATGGCTATGGAGAACTTTGTAAAGGATTGAGAATGTTTTCATACCTGAGTGACTCCATGACTTTTTTGGCATTATCTGTGACCCCCTCTCTTTTCTGGAAGGCCTCGGACACAGCCTGCCACTGTCCTTCCTTGTTCAGGATCTGTAAATATTGACCAAGAGGTTAACCTTTCATCAAGTTGATTGTATTTTGAATCATTGTTGTTGTTCTCCCTAAGACTCTTGCTTGGTAATGTGACCCCGCCCCTGTTTTAGATACACATAACTAAGAATTGTACACTTACATCTGTTTTATCATCCATGGCAGTTTGAAGGGCCTTGGAGTGTTGTTTGACTGCTTCAATAACATCTTTCTGTAGATCTGATGCCTCTTGGAGCCTAGTTTTACAAGAATCCATCAGGTCCTTAAGTTTGGATTCCAGGGCTGAAAGTTCAACAGACAAAATAGTAAACTTAGTATCTGTAAAATGCTTCATCAGAACCCTACAATTGGCAGAGTGATTATTACTTACAAGTACATACAGAATGCTGACTTTTATCATCACTGATTTGTCTTCCCTTAACATTTAAAAAGTCATTTCTTGACCTGTTCTCCCTTTCTTTTTTTTGTCCTTCTCTCTATTAGCATTTTCAGTCTTTTAATTTTCTTTTTGTTGCTATATATCTATCTCCTTCACCCCTTTCTTTCACTCTTTCCCTCCCCTTACCTGTATTTTCAGCTTTTTCTTTCTCTCTTTGTTTCTGTACCTTTTGGTCTATGTATAACCCCCCTCCCTTCCCCCTCTCTCTAGCTCTCTCTGTCCTCACCTGTATTTTCAGCCTTTTCTTTCTCTCTTTGTTTCTGTACCTTTTGGTCTATGTATAACCCCCTCCCTTCCCCCTCTCTCTAGCTCTCTCTCTCCTCACCTGTATTTTCAGCCTTTTCTTTCTCTCTTTGTTTCTGTACCTTTTGGTCTATGTATAACCCCCATCCCTTCCCCCTCTCTCTAGCTCTCTCTCTCCTCACCTGTATTTTCAGCCTTTTCTTTCTCTTTTTGTTTCTGTACCTTTTGGTCTATGTATAACCCCCAACCCACCCCTCTCTCTAGCTCTCTCTCTCCTCTCTTTGTTGCTGTAGATTTTGGTCTATGTCTAACCCCCCACTCACCCCTCTTCTCTCTCTCCTCACCTGTATTTTCAGCCTTTTCTTTCTCTCTTTGTTGCTGTAGTTTTTGCTCTATGTCTAATTTTTCCCTCTCTTTAGCAGACAGTGTGGGTTGGGCTGGGGCAGGGCTGACTGCTGTCTCTGTAAGTATTTTTTTCATTTAAACATCTTTTACAGACTAAAAATGAGAATTGGACATAACAGAGAAATCTATCAATCTTTGCCTTAATTTTGGCTCTTTTCTGAAAGATTTCCTGAAATTTAAAATTTCTATATCATACTGAAAACAAATATTAATACAACCTAATACAAATTTTGCATATTATATGTCAAAATTTGGATCATCAAGTACTTTTCTTTTTTAATTTCAAACAGAGAATGCCACACTATCTAGGTCTGAGCATTCAGAAAATGTCCACAGAAAACATCTAGGTCTAAGCCCCTCCCTAGATGACCTCCTCCCTACCTTTGACTGTGGTCTTCACTGGTTCAGCCTTTGGTTCTGATTTCTTCGTTACTGGCTGAGGCTGTTTAAGAAAAAAGGGCAACTAAATTTTTCTTTTATTTTTTATCAGGTAAAAATAAATTTTAATTATGAAACAAGAGGGGGGGCATGAATTTTAAACTACCTGATGATGCTTCCATGTCAATATAACAAATGGCTTTGTTGTACTTGAGAAGATTTTGAAAAAAATTTTCCCATATATCCCTTTGTAAAAATTTGATCCCCCATTATGGCTTCTCCCTATCCTAGGGGTCATCATTTGAACAAACTTGAATCTACACTACCTGAGGATGCTTCCATATCAATATGACTAAACATAGCTTTTCTGTACTTGAGAAGAAATATTTTTTCTATATGTTCATATGTAAAACTTCTGATTTCCCATTGGGCCCCACCCTACCCCCCGGGGGTCATCATTTGAACAAAATTGAACAAGCATTCTGAGAGTATTGCATTAGCAATACTAGTCCCCTATTGGCAAGTGTAATCTGGTTCCCATTAAAAATTGAAAATGCCATAATTCCGTCAAAAATCAATGAAACGGAGCGAAATGCAAACTTAATCTATAACTCATCATGGTAAAGTCACATACCAAAAATCAGCTCAATATCTGCAAGCGTTTAGAAAAAAAGTGCGGAAAACCCTGAAAAATTGAAAAGGTTGTAATTCCATCAAAAATCATTGAAGCGGAACGAAATACAAACTTGATCTGTAACTTATCAAGATACTCTCACATACCAAAAATCAGCTCAATATCTGCAAGCATTTAGAAGAAAAGTGCGGAAAACCAAGTGGGACAGACTGACAGACAGACAGAGGGACAGACAGACAGACAGCTAGAAAGACAGACGGACAGACTCAGAGGAAACCTATACCCCTCCAGTTTCACCGGTAGGGGACTAATTAACACTACCTGAGGATGCTTCCATATCAAAATGAACTAATCATGGCAAGTCATGGCTTTGCAGTTCTTCTTCAGAAGATATTTTCCTATATATTTCTATTTAAGACTTTGATCCTCCATTGTGGCCCCATCCTACCCCCGGGGGTCATGATTTGAATAAATTTGAATCTACACTACCTGAGGAGGCTTCCATATAAATATGACCAATCAGGGCTTTGCTGTTCCTGAGAAAAAGATTTTTAAAGATTTTTCCTATATATTTCTATGTAAAACTTTGATAGTCCATTGTGGCCTCGCCCTACACCCAGGGGTCATGATTTGAATAAACTTAAATCTACACTACCTTATGCTTCCATATAAATATGACTCATCATGGCTTTGCTGTTCTTGAGAAGAAGATTTTTAAATATTTTTCCTATATATTTATATGTAAAACTTTGATCCTCCATTGTGGCCCTGCCCTACATCCCGGGGTCATGATTTGAACAAACTTGAATCTACACTACCTAAGGATGCTTCCACATGAGTTTCATCTTTCCTGGCCCTTTGATTCTTGAGAAGAAGATTTTTAAAAGATGCTATTAATTTTTCACTATTTCTTTATTATCCACCCTTGAAAGAGGACGTGGCCCTTCATTTGAACAAACTTGAATCCCCTTCACCCAAGGATACTTTGTGGCAAGTTTGGTTGAAATTGGCCCAGTGGTTCTTGAGAAGAAGGCGAAAATGTTAAAAGTTTACAGACAGACAGACAGACGGACAGACAGACAGATGTGGGACAAAAAGTGATCAGAAAAGCTCACTTGAGCCTTCAGCTCAGGTGAGCTAAAAATCAACTTCTAATAGGTACATTGTAAATGTACTTTCGGGACATTATTCTGAGGAAAATCCTGTTTTTAGTTGGCAAGATAATCAGCTTTATTTAGAATTTAGACTCCAGAACTATCTACTAACTTGGTGGGAGTGATTTAAACTCAGTGGGTTGGTGCAATTTTTACTCCCTGGCCTGATGCTGAAATTTACTCACTGGGGTGGGGGGGATGATTTTTTTATTGGCCACCTTGTAGATCAGGTGATTTTTACTCAATGGGGTTAGAGTGAATTTTTTTTTACTGATGCTGGGTTGGGAGGGGGGGGGGAGATTTTTACTTACATTTTGTTGGGGTGAATTTTGCTCCCTTGGATGGGAGGAATTTGTATTCACAAGGGAGGTGAGTTTTACTCACTGGGTTTGGGGTGAATTTCACTCACTGGCCGGGGTGAGGGGATTTATATTCACTAGGGTGGGGGTGAGTTTTATTCAGTGGGGTGGTGGTGACTTATACTCAGTGGGGTGGGGGTGACTTATACTCACTGGGGTGGGGGTGATTTTAGCCAGCGGCTTTTGTTCCTCTTCAGCAGCTTTCCCTGAACCAGATACAAGGCCCTTTATAGGATCATAAACGTATTCTTGGAATGGACTATATACATTTTTCTCCATCACTTTCTTAAATTCTGGATCCACAAATTCACCATAGGCAGCAGCTCCTCCCAAAGCTGCTGTAGGCAACAGAACAAACCACCTATAATCACATAAAATCATGTTACATTATTTACTGTGCATTATTTCTTATTTTATTTACATGAGTACTTAATACTGCAAAATGACTTGTAGACATCAAACTGTGATAGTATGCAAGTGGACTGTAGATCATGAGCTTTTACAGGTACATGTAACTTAGCAATATAAAAAAAAAATAAATTTGAGTAATTTTATTTCGTGATTTGTCCTTCTTGCAAAATTAAGTGATAATAAAATTCTCAAATATATTAAGGAATTAACAGTATTTTTTACAGGAAATAACTAAAATTAAATAATCAGATAAATACACAGCATGCAATTTTCTTCTAACTTAAGACATACAGTACATGTATTTAGTAATTTCGAAAAAAAAATCATTAATCATGGTAATCAAATATTCTGTTTTCAAACTGTTGGATGAGTGTGCTATAAAACAGTTTAACATACAATGAATTATAGACATGAATGTAGTCTGTCTGATGTCACCCTCTGTTGCTTGGATCAAACACAGAGATCAATGTTTTTACCATTTCCAGATTAAGTACAGCATACTTACTTTAGAACTCCACCTTTCTGGGGAGGGGGTCCAGATGCCATACATCTTTGTTGTATTGGCTTCACTACACTGGAGGTCTGAAAAAGAAAATGAGGCCAAAAAAAAATAATAGTCTTGTTTCCTGCTACCCGACCTACCCTATTTTTTTGCACCCGACCCTAAAGTTTTTTTCAAGTTTTGGGAGAAAAAAAATCGGGAATTTCCAGAATTTCATCGTTCTGTCACTGTAATCGGTTTCCGTGTTAACACAAAACAAGCATTTCATGAAATTCTTGTTTTAAATATGGACTTTCATAAAATACCACTTGAGTTGTGCATAAAAGACATGAAATTCAATTTTAAAAGACAATGTTGACCTGTGACATGTTTAATTTTATCTTGTATTAGTTCATATCCAAAAAATGCTGTCGGAAAAAAATAAAATAAAAATATAAAATAAAATAATTTTCCTACCTACCTACCCTATTTTTTTCAGGCTGGTAGCAGGAAACAAGACTATTATTTTTTTTGGCCTGACATGGATCAAATGTTATCAACACCAACCTAAGATCTGCTAAAATGATGGGGAGAAAGGGGCACATTTCTACAGGACTACGCCACGTAATTTTCAAGGGGGACAATGACTGGAGTTAAACATGTAACATTGTAAACCTAAACATTCTAGAAGGGTCTCGCACATGACTGTTGGAAACTCAATTTACCATTTTTACATTTCACCATTAATTGCAACATCTAATACTTTTCAGGAATTTGGTGAAAGCAAAGGTGATAATGTTCTTACTAATATTAATTGATAAAACAATCTGATTAAAATCAGCTGTTCTGATACGCTACTGCAAATAAGGTCATATTCAGGACCGGTCCAATGCTCTACCAATTAAGCTAAAGGGTTAACCCACTAGGCCAAGTTAGTAGGATGCCATGTATTTTCTATATACCACAAGTAGACTTCATCAAAAGTCAATAACTGTATAATGTCATAAACAAATGTAAAGCTCTAGTCACAAAATATCTTAGCCATTGATAGACTGCAGCTAAAGCAAAGCTTTACTTTATAATCAAATAAGTATTAATACAAATATAAAGTACAAAAGCATAAAGACATACTTTCATTTTAGCTCTTGACAAGAGCAAAATGAAAGTTAATGCCCAATGGCAATTTCAAGATACAATGGTGTCTAATCAAAGTGTAAGACAAATCCTCGCCGAGTTTGCTATTTGAAGAAATGATAACCATACCTTAATCCGCGGGGTGACGCCCCTCGCTGCAGCTCGCCACATCCTTTTACAGCGAGAACCAAAAATTTATTTGCCCAGACACCGGTCTCCCTCACGTCCAAGGACAAAATTAATATGTGAACGTCGATCCCGACAAAATATGAAATCATTTTTCAAAATCATTTTACGCGAATTATGTGTATAGAAAGTTGATTAGTGAATTTTATTATATATTTTTATTTTCTCATTAAGCCAATTTTAACTTGCGTCATTTTAGTAAATGCTGAGCAGATATGTTTCTTTTTTAATGAGTCGGGATCTGAAATAAATTGAAAATGGCTGCCTCCATGATCAGGAATTTTTCCAAGGGTAAATGTTCATTTTTATGCAAAAACATGTACATATTAGTTTTGTTGAGACCTGTTATGTTCCAATTCGATTTCTACAGATCATAATATCTTGAAAAAGAAATAACTGATTTTTCTCTTGAGTTTTTTTTAGTGTGTCACTCACTCACTGTACCAGGTCTGGTACAATCACTAGATTTAGCAACGTAGCTTGAATTACCTACATACTCATAGCTTTATTTACCTACCTGAAGTAGCTTTATTTAGCTACTAAATCAAACTTATTTCTTAAATTAGCATTTTCCCCAGAAAGTGCAGTAAATTGCACTTTGATGCAGTGATAATTTTCAACTTTGAACTCATCTGAAAACAATTCATGAAAAAAAATCACTCTTGGAGATGTGTCTTTTTCTGTGCAATTGCAATCAAAGTTCTAAAATTTTGGGGCTATATACAACAGTTAATTTGTGACCTAACAGTTACTTCTTGAGTGAATTAACAAAGAAAACCAGTTTTGGTTAACATGAGCACAATGTGAAGCAGTCATACTTATCCACGCCTCATCGCACACAAGGTGGTGTACAGTTACTCAAACAATGGAAATACATCTTTTCCTTAAAAGTGTTTAAATACAGCAATGTTAAAACTATCTCTGCTTTAGATTGCTTTTAAATAATACCTAGAATAAATATTAGTAGACATTTACCATGTTTACTTGCTATTTTTTTGTATTTTTAAAATAAAAAGCAAAATTGTGAAAAGTTACCTCGAAATAACTAAATAAAGCTACCTGAGGTAGGTAAATAATGCTATGGTAGGTTATTTTAGCTACATAGCTAAATGTACTGATTGTACTGGACCTGTGTACATGTGTGTTCAATTGCTGAAAGAAATCAAAGTTTTCCCAAGATAGACATTAAGTTTTTTGCTTTTTATTGTATTCAATATTCAACCAAAGTTAATATGAGGAAGATAAAGAAATAACAAACAAAACAAATTTGTACAAAATTATAGATATTGATAACTTACATATTCATCAGTCAGGGTGAGACAGAAATCCATCATTCTGAAAATGATGATTACTAGTCATTAAATTAATATGTGTTACTGTGTGACGATTGGGGTGAGCTTATTTGTATCATCAAAAATCTTTACACAGCTTACTTTTGTGACTTTGGTTCAAACTTAAATCACAGTGACACATGTATATCAAGACACATTCTTCATATATAAGTTGGCTTTCCATAACAGAGTTTAAATAGACCTGGTGGAATTTTGACAAAATGACAAAATCTTGATGACAATTAAATGATGATTAGACAGAGAAAGAATTATGATGATCTCTTTATATTTCGCTACTTTGACAGGGGCCAGAGTCCTAGCGAGACATGTTTTCAGACATCCCACATGTATTTACAATACGGAGGTTCTGGCTGTATCAGGGAGTAACATAAATTGTACCAGTCTCACACAGCAGTTCTCCACCCTGAATCTGGGAAATACAGACACCTACACAGAGAAGAACCTGTATGGAACATCACAGAGGTGAGGGAGACAGACAGACAGACACATATACAAACACACACAGAAAGAGAGAGACAGGCACATACACACACACACAGAAAGACAGACACATGCACATAGAAGAGAGAGAGAGAGAGACAGATGCATATACACAGACGTAGGACAGAGAGACAGACAACATACATGAAGACATCAAAAGCCATCATTCTGTCATTACAAACCATATATGAGTTTTCTGGTAAACATTTGTCAGAGTGATAGCCCTTGAATTTTAAGAAATTGATGAAAAATGTGCATACACTATTACACTAACCTGATCAATGATTAAAAGCCTAATTGATAGGAACTTCAATTAAATTACAGATCGCTGCTGGAAGTTTGTACACCTTTCAAGACAACAGTCAGAACTAAGATTCGCTACAGCAGACTCAACAAAGACAAGACAGTCCGTCCCGTTATTCGACGATTTTATCGACTGGACTGGGGTGCATGGATCCGAACAAGATGTGGTCGTGGGAAGAAACGCTATCAAAAATCCTCAGCACGAAAAAGACGCCTGGATCAACATGTGTTTTGTAACAAACAACAAAATAAACTATTGGACCAACTGGTCACGCCCTTCTGGAGGAAAAAAATGTACTTTGTGGATGACCCTTATGAACCTTACCACAAGCGACATCATCTCTCTAGATATTTTAAAGAAAAACCTGTATTTTTACCATGATTGTTGAATGTTACATTTTTGTTTAAGAAAATAAATATCATGCTGATTGTGCCTACATTATTAATCTTTATTTTTAGGGTAAAAATGTAAGTTTATAGGCTGCTATAACTGCACTATGCTCGACTGCACTTCATGTTCTAAGCCGTGAACTCAGATATGTCACTTCTATTGTAGATATTGTTTATTCTGTATTATGATCATGTAATCTAATAAGCTTTTTGACTTAAGGAATAATAAACAATTAATTTTAGGGCAATCAAAACCTAAGTAAGTATATCGAAAACCTGTCTTGACTCTTGTACTCCGACAGGAAGAGCAGCCATTATATAGCATTATCCAATCATTGTCACTCATTACCTTGATATAAATTTAGCAACACAAGAATTCAGTGCATTGAAGCATGACGACAGAAGTTGGATTGGTCCTTTTGACCGCGGCGTGCACCGTGTGACGCCACAGTCTTGTGAGTCGTGATAACAAGAACACGAACTGCACGAGGAGAAAGTTTTTTCATGGTTTGTACCTATCTTCGCTCATAGTCATATTATCATAACTTGGTTAAGTGGAGAAACTTTAACATTTGATAATTATTTTGGATGAATATTAAGGTCTGAAGGATGCGTGCATGCATGACCATAGGGACAAAGGGGGCATGGGAGGTTGTGCTATCATGTTGTAATGGTAAAGTTTGAAATTACTAGGTGGAGGTAAATGCCTAGTAATTACCTTCACCTAGTAAATTCAAAATTTACAACATGATAGTGCCCCCACCCACCCATCACCAAATGAAATTACTAAGGGACCTTTTGTTTAGATAATCATCCAGTAAATACCTATTTTGATATATTGCACTCAACCCATATGCATTTTTTTATTATTATAAAAACAAAAAGATTGTCTTCAGGGACAATTATTGATTTTTTTTAACGGCTAGGTACCTGTAATCTTCAAAAAGAAAAGAAACGGAATGAAAGGAAAAGAAAATCGGTGACAGGCAAATAAATTAAGGACATAGGCAACGTAGTTTGAACTTTATTGTCTTTTTCCCTGGAGTTGAAGAGTTTCAATACTTAAAGGAACTGTGTGCTAGATTTTAATGTCTATAAATGCTATTATACACTTCTTCTAAAACAAGTTTGGATAAATAAAAACGTCTAGAATATACGTTTAGTAGTTTTTCTATATTTTTTTTTTTTGAAATTTACAAGAATTTTCATCAATTGATATCGTTTCAAAACCCCTGGTAAAGCATGTTAATTTTTTCTCTACAAACATCTGATGGCACTGTAATCTTATATTAAGAATATCTTGAAAATTTATCTGTAGGTAAGGTACGTTGCGTATGTCCTTAAACACACAGTTTTAGGATGATGATAAGTGCATCTACCATGTATAAAGAACGAAGGTGCTTTTGATTGACATTCGGCAGGAATCGGGGCGCACTTGAAAAGTGAAAACTTTATTGAACTTTCAAATTATTTTTTTTTTTACATTCTTTTGATGCATTATGTATCTTTGAAATAGGAAAGGAAAATATTTTTTTTTATAGTAAGTTGTTTTGATTTCCTTAAAAATAGCTTATGTAATTAAAACATGACTAGATGAGTCATTTGGTACAAAATGTTACATTTTTAAACACGTTTTTCTAAAAATTTGCTTTCTCTGGGTCATCTCTCCACGATTTTAAAAAAGACATTTATGTGCATTTGTATTCAAAGAAACGAACAAACATTTGTAATAAATGGAGAGAAGACCCAGAGACTATAAAAAAATGAATGTTTTCCAAAAAATACCTATGTGTAAATGCGTTGCTTCTTTGTCATTTTAAATTCCAGGGTGTTTGTGTAGCGATGATAGCTCAGTCGTATGCTTTACCAGCTATGGTTTTCATACTTCACATGTGTATTCCTTGTGAAAAGACCTTTCTTTGGGTACCATCATACTTGACCTTTTGACCTTGGAGTATGACCCACTTTTTGCAAAATTTTATGAGACTTTAACCTTGGCCATAACTTTAAACAGTTGGTACTTGGGCTTTCAAACTTCACATGTGTATTCTTTGGGACAAGACCTTTTTTTGGATACCAACAACTTTGACCTTGACCTTGGAGTTTGACCTACTGTTGAAAAAACTTTAACCTTGGCCATAACTTCTGAAGAGATTGAGCTAGGGTTTTCATATTTTACATGTACATTCCTTGTGACAAGACCTTCCTTTGGATACCAACAACTTTGACCTTTTGACCTTGACCTTGGAGTTTGACCTATTTTAATTTTGAAAAACTTTGACCTTGGCCATAACTTTTTAACAGTTAGTGCTAGGGTTTTCATACTTCACTCGTGTAATCCTTGTGACAAGACCTTCCTTTGGATACCAACAGCCCTGACCCTTTGACCTTGACCTTGGAGTTTGATCTACTTTTGAAAAAACTTTAACCTTGGCCATAACTTTTGAACAGTTGGAGTAAGGTCTTTCATAATTCTCATATGCATTCCATAAGCTGCCATATGGGGGCATTAGTGTTTCAAAAACACATCTTGTTTCTTCTTTTTTTCATACAAACAATCAAGTTGTTTATCTGTTGAATTTTATTTTATATATAAAAGTTTTAAAAGAGATAAAGTTTGGTTCAGTTGCACAGGGAGCGAAAGCAATTTTTCAAACTGAAACTTCATTTCATATCTCATATCCTATTATACTGTTAGGTGTTTATTATTTATAGGAAGTGTTACTGTGTTTTGTAACTATTAAGATAAGTGGACTAAAATATTTCAAATTTGCAAGCTATTTCAGTGTAAATCTAAACATTTTCCTATGTGCATAACTTTGTAAGGTCTGTCCACTAATGGTCAGCCGACCAAATCGTGGACATTTAAACCATAAGTGTTTCGTACACATGATTCATGCAGATCGCACGCCAAGTACACCAATCTTCTTTATACATGTAATTGGGGGTGAGAAGGAGGCACATCCAAACATTCACATTTTGGGGGGACACAAATTCATTGTCAAGCAAAAAAAGGTCATCAGACGTAATTATTGAGGGGGCACATCCATAAAGTAGCTTTGATATGCTATAGTATATTCTATAGTGGCAAAATTAGGGGGGAAGGGGGGTGTTAGGGGCCGTGCCCCCTCCCTACGGGTTCCTAACAGTTGACATCCTCACAACGTCAGGGGTCCTGAGTCAACACGTTGCCGTTGGACCCCTAAGTCAGGGGTCCAACGGCAACGTGTTGACTCAGGGGTCCAACGGCAACGCACGTGTTGACTCAGTACCCCTGACGTGAGGACAAACAGTTGATAAAAAGTGACATGAAGAAAAAAATTCCGAATTTGAGAACTTTTAAACTAAAATAGTTACCTGTAGATCTGGAGCCTGATGAAGTAGGAAAAAAACACTTTTTATCCCAATCAGGTATTTTGTCATTGCATTGAAAATGTAAAAATAACACTTTTCTACGTTGGAAATTTATTTGTAATGAAAAGAAGCATGCATGTATAAGGTAAAATGGTAAGTATATTTTTAGTTCTACTGGTCAGAGACCAGAAAAGCTTTTGCGATATTCAGGTGTCTGACGTCCATCCGTCTAGCTGTATTTCTGTCTGTCTGTAATACTTTCGTTTCCGCGCGATATCTCGAGAAGCCTTTGATCTTTTGCACTGAAATTTTATACCACAACCAAACACAAATCCCTATGGCCTAAAGAAGACCCCTATTGATTTTGAGGTCAAAGGTCAAGGTCATAAATTTATAAATTCTGTCTGTTTTAACACTTTTTTCCGGGCCATATCTCGAGAAGCCTTTAAGCTTTTGCAATGAAATTTTATTCCACAACTCCTTATGGCCTAAGAAAGATCCCTATTGATTTTGAGGTCAAAAGGTCGAGGTCGTAAATTCATACATTCTGTCTGTATGTAACACTTTTGTTTCCGGGCGATAACTCAAGAAGCTTTTGAGCTTTTGCAATGAAATTTTATATTATAACTCCCTATTGCCCCGCCCGCCCCTCTCAAAGTGTTACACCCCGTTTTTATTTTATTTTGGTCAATTTTTTTTTCAAAAGTCAATTGGAAATTTTTTGGCATTGATCACGCTCAAAGTTTTAGAGTTACTCCCCGTTTGTACTAAAAGTTGCGTGTCACTATTTTTAGCACAGGAGCATGTGGACAATTATTACAGGTAATACAGGATGTCAGCGGGCTTTATATTCTAATTACATCTTTTAGAACCGTTTAGTAAAGACTAAGACGACACCATGTTTTGTAAAATTTTGACAAAATCGAAAGTGAATATATACATGTATATGTGACCTGTTGTTTGCATTTGATTTATAATATTGTCAAGCGCCTTCGTTGGTCTTGAGGCATGATTCTCGCTTTAGATGCGAGAGTTCCCGGGTTCAAATCCCGGACGATCCCGAATTTATTTATTTATTTATTATTTTTTTTTTTGAAATGTTTTTTTTTCCATTTACTAAATCATAGTATTCAACATATGAAATAAAGAAGTTGTGACGTCTGGGTGTACAAACCCTCTCATAAAAGCATTATTACAGTGCGATAATAATAAATATTATATAAAAAAGAAACTTCTGTACACATTTTAAAGAATAAGCAATCAAATCTATATATCCATATTGGCAATTCGCTTCAGGATATACATTTAATAACTCTGCAAATCCATGTGGAGGGGGGGGGGGGTCCGATCCCCCCCCCCCCCCCGATCTGCGCATGCTCTTCTTTTTTCCTTAAGCGGGGACACAAATTCTCTGAATTAACTTGTTTAATTTCAGATTCTCCTCTGAAAACGGCTGGACTAATTTCAACAATTTTTATTTTCCGTTTCACGGGCGTTTTTGACAAAGAAAGAGGGCGTACAAGGCCAGAACAATCACTCACTTAGAGACAATATATTTCTCCCAAAGCTAGATCATGGAAAAAATATTTTTCTAAAATTATGTTGTCAGTAATATCATCTTCAACACATTTTATTCATTTATTTTATTGAATGACCTTTTGATTGATAATCGTTTTATAAAGGTG